GCAGTGGGAAAGTTCACCAAAGACCTATTTGTTCCTTTCCCCAGCATGTCTACTCTTTGTTTTTTTGTGTTTTATTTTTTTAAAGACTTCTTTGGTACCTTAAGGAACATAACAAAGGAAAAATATCTGAGCAGAACAAGAGAATGTCTAGAAAGGTGCGTAGGCTGTTGAAGGTGTGACACCTGCCTCTAACTCCAGACTTCTCACAGGAAGAGCCACGCTTTCCACTGGGGTGTGGACACAAAATTATTTTCTAGTCTCATGAGTTTATCAAGTACTTCTTTGGCAATTCCAACAGCTGTACATAAGTGGAATCATACCTGTCAGACACAGCTGGAATAGAACTCAATAGTAATACCTGATTAATAAAACTGATCACATGGACCCTTTATTCATGGTCATCGATGCCTTCTTCACTATGACCTGTCAGCTCATGTCTCATGCCTCTCCGAGTTTCTTCCACATGGGACTCTGAATATATTCTTGCTTCTCATAGATTTCCTGATGAATTACTTAGAGATAGGAGAACTTCAACCTTCAACATTAGCTTTCAAGATTGCCCTAAGCCTCCAAATCCAGTTGGAAGCAGTATGAAAAGTTTCTCACTATGTCTAGAATACACTGGCAGTTATCATTTTGTCCTATGATCTACTGGATATCCGCATGACCACATCTCATTGCAAAAGAAGCTAGATGTAATCTTGCTGTGTTACACGAGGGGAAATAGATATAGCAAACAAGTTGCCAGACTACATTATTTTTTTCTTTAAATTTCAATTTACTTTGCCTGTTGATTTTTACTTTCCAACCACCCATCTTGTGCAATTCAGCAAAATTCCACCATTTACAACAACCTGTCATAGATTGAATCTAATTCTGAATGGTCAGGTTCCTTACCTGGATTCATCTTTGCAAAATGATATTTGTAACATACAGGGTAGACTCATAGCACTTCCCCATGGGAAGATGTGAAAGGAGAGGAGGGATTTGAGTGGGGTGACTAGGCTTGCCAGCTCACCATGACTACTGACTATGAGAACTTTAAATATTTCAACTGTTCAGTGGCTGAACAGCACCTAAGGACTCACACAGGACAGCTGATGTGAGAAGCAGAGAGAGCTCAGGTCAGTGTTTGTGTTGTTAACTCATTCTTGTGTTTCATCCCTGGTTATGGGGTAGCTTCAGAATAAGAGTGCTGTCTACAGTCTCTGCCAAAACCTTCTGACTCACTTACCTTTGACTGTGAGTGATGAAAGGCAAGGGCTAGGTCTTCTGCTTCTTACCATTGTGTACTTAACCAGGACCACATCTTTGCCCTTTAGTTGAAAATAGATTTTTTTCTCATGTAATATATCTTCATTACGTTTTCCCTTCTCACTACTCCTACCAGTTCCTCCCTATCTTAAGAGTAGTTTGTTTCTTCAGTGAGACCCTCTTTGAGAAACAAATTGCAAATAGTTAGCAAAGGAGATAGCTTCTGGGGCAGGGATGGGACATGCATCCAGTTCTCCTTTCAGCTCTAGGACCCTGTCTGGTGCAGCCCTGTGCATGCTGATGTGGTCTTTGTGAGTTCTATAATGTGTGCTTCTATCATGTCAACTTAGAGGGTCTTGTCTCTTTGGTGTCCTCAATACCCTATGGCTCTTACAGTCTTTCTACCTTCTCTTCTGCGGGTTCCATGGAATTTGATGGACACATTCTGTTTAGGGCTGAGCATTCCAAGGTCTCTCACTTTCTGTATATTGTATGGCTGTGGGTCTCTGTATTTGTTCCCATCTGCTACTGCAGGAGGAAGCTTCTCTGATAATGGCTGAGAAATGCACTGACCTATGAGAATAGCAGAATGTCATTAGGAATCATTTTACTGCTATAGTCTCTTAGTAGAATAGTGGTATTTGGTTTCCCCCTTGGTCCCTGGGTTCTCTAGTTCCAGGTTCTTGGTCTTCCAAGCAGTGTCAGATCCAAGTTCTATCTCATAGAATTGGCCTTAAGTCAAATCTGATATTAGTTGACTTTTCCCAAATTATTTGTGCTACCATTATACTAACATATCTTTCAAGCAGGACACTACTGTAGATCAAGGGACTTGTAGCTATGGTAATGCATAGAGTACCTTTCTGTAAAGCACTATGTAGTTACCAGCTCAACTTCTCCATGTTCAGTGAGTTGTGTGGGTGTTGTGTTCAACTATAGTCTTGGCAGCAGCCTGAATTGTTGGTTCCTATGAAACCCCTTCAGCCAACAACCCAATTCCCAGTACTGGAAGCTTGATTTGGTGATAAGAGATGTTTAGTTGGGACTGTTTCCCCCATTATTTGGTGATTTCATTTAGATCATTTTTATATAGATATAGAGTATACTACTAATACAGTATTAAGTATCCGTGTGTGTGTGTCTATATGTATGCATATGTGTGTGGGAGTCTATATATGTATTCTTAACTACTATATTAGGTTTCCATACTAATCTTCAAAGGGCTCTCAATTTTAGCTGTGTCTCCTCAGATTCCCTCCCTCACATTCCTCTTTCCTCCCCACATGATCCTCCCATTCCATTCCCTTCATTCTTCCCTGTCTATCTATAACCATCTATTTTATTTCCCCTTCCTAGGGAGATCTATCTATACTTTCCTATGTATCTTAATCTCTACCTAACCTCTATTGTTCTATTGATTGTAACTTCATTACTGTTGACTTAGCAGCTAATATCCACACAGAAGTGAGTACATAGTATAGTTGTCTCTCTGAGTTATCTCACTCAGGATGATTTTTTTCTTCATTTACCGATGAAATTCATGTTTTTATTTTTTTAATAGCTAGGTAGCATTCCATTGTGTAAACTCACCATATTTTCTTTATCAATTCATGTGTTGAGAGACATCTAGATTGTTTCCATTTTGTGGCTATTATGAATAGAACAGCAGTAAACGCGGTTGAGCAAGGTTCTTTGTGATAGGATGAAGTATCCTTCAGATATGTGCCCAAGAGTGGTATAGCTGGATTTTGAGGTAGATCAATTTCCGTCTTCCAGAGGAACTGCCACTGATTTCCATAGTGGCTATACAAGTTTGCAAATTCACTATGAACAGATGAGTCAGAACCACATTTTTAAAAGGTTTACAGTTTTTAATCTAATACCCACCTATTAACAAGTACTGGAGGAGTGGAGGGGGGTTGCAACCCCATTGGAAGAACAACATAGGATGGCCTGACCACCTAGTTCTCCCAAAGTTTAGACCACCAACCAAGCAGCGTACCTGGAGGGATCCATGGCTCCAGATACAAATGTAGCACAGACTGGGCTTGCCTGACAGCAACAGGAGGGGGGGCCCTTGGTTCTGGGGAGGTTTGATGTCCCAGCGTAGGGGAATGCTGGAGTGGTGGGCTGGGATGGGAGAGTGTGAGTAGGTGGGGGAGCACTCTCAAACAGGCAAAGGGGATGGGGTGGGGGTAGGGGGTGGGGAGTTAGTAAAGGGGTAACCAGGAAGTAGGATATTATGAGATGGGGTTGGTGGAGGGGGTAACTGAGAAGTGGAATATAGAGATTAGAAATTTTAAAATAAAAGAGTATAATTATAAAAGATTAATTCAAAAAGTTTTATGGTTTTTTAAAGTAAATTGCTAAAAATTATTCAACAACCATTGAGTAACTCCAATCTGTCTGAATTCAGTGTCATTTTAAGAATGAATGATAAGAGTGGGATTTAGGTAAAGGCCACTCTTCACATGAAGGACCTTTTCTTCCAACTGGATCCTGGGAATTATTAATTATGGTTCTACTTAAATTTGGGGTCAAGAAATACTTCTTTGGGGACAGTAGTTGCCCTGTGCAATGTAGAATATAGAGAAATACCCCAGACTTTTGACCCCTGGAAGTGGAAGTAGTTAGGTTTCCTTAGGATGTCAGGAATATGTCTTTTTCCGTACCATGACAATAAACAAAATGTTTTCAGTATTGCCTAGTTGTCAAATGCCTGGTGAGGAAAGAGAAAATATCCTCAGTTGAAAACCATTGAGCTAGATGGAGATTAAGTTTGGTCCTCTCTAGAGTAAGAAATTCCAAAGTTATAGGCTTTTATATACTATTACAAAAATAAATATTTATGGGCATATACATATCTATACCTACGGTTCTTAATTAATTGTATGATGAATGGTTTGTAATGTTGGATAAAAATGTAAAAACCTGAGTACATGCAAGATATTATCAGGGAAAATGGAAGAATCCATAGGAAGTAGACATTCATAAGAGTCAGGACTGGGAGAATGGATGGGTAAGATGTATATCAATATTCGCCAATTACATTTTACATAAAATGCGTTGTTGAATGTATTCGAAAGCTATTCTCTAAGTATATTATTAGCAGTATATACCATTTTTTAAATAAATTGCTGAAGGTGAGTTTCTCAGATAAATGAATTGAGGTTCTGTGTGGCTACAGAATGTTTTCCAGGTTACAAAGAAATCAAGTGGCAGAGTTGTGATTCAACTCAGTTCTAGCTTATCTTCAAATCTATACCATAACTATAATGGCTTGCAGCTGAGAGTTCCCCAGGAGCTCTAACTTTCTCCATGTGAACAAAACCCTGGCAAGGATTTGTATAGGGTGATCAGCAGTACAACTGTAAAAGACAATCCTGATTGCACCACAGCCCATCAAAGGCTCTGCAAGTTAGCATTATGCTACTCAAACATTCTCCCAAGGAGATAACTTACAATCTGTGCCATAAAGAAGACAGAGTGAAAAAGAGAAAGGAATCTATTGCCATGACAACTAAGTGACAGCTCAGACACTATGACCACATGTACCATACTTACTACAATTACTTCTACAGTGGTGGAAATAGAGAACCAATGTTTTATCCTTGAATAGACTCAAATGGTACCCAAGAAAGTCTCTCAGGTGGGTCTCATCTTGTTTTGGTGCTTTGGGTTTTGAAATTCAAATAAAAATACTACTACTTATTCTGCCACCTCCACATAGCTATACAGCTACACAGCTCTTTAAATGCCTAGGAATTTGGAAATAATCACTGGCTTCCTATTGCAAACTAGTGATACTCTTGAACTCAGTCTCATCCAGATCATCCCAGAACAACTCTCACAGCTTCTTATCCTATCGATGCACTCACTGGCTGTGGGTGTGCAGTAAGTGTGAAAGTATGAAGTAGGTTGCAAATGAGCAATAAGCCATGACATATGTACCACACATAGCAATTGGAGATACAGACTAAAAGAATAAAATCTCACCTTGCATCTATTAGAATGATCAAAATTCAGCACACTGATGCCCCATGTGGGAGCAAAAATGCAGCATAACAGAATCCTCTAGGTTACTTTGGCAATGCAGAGTGGTAGGTACACTGGATCACAGTGGGTAGATTCCTAATAAACTAACCATATTTTTACTATACAATCTAAAATATGCATTCCTTGCTATTTTACCAAAGAGAGATGAAAAATTAGGTTAACATAAAAACCTGCAGGTGGACTTTTAGCACAGCATTATTCCATCAGTTGATAACTACACAAGTTAGTACATCCGGGTGATTATCACTGCCTGGAGTAGTAGTAGAATATTACTCATCACTAAAATTAAATGAACTATTGAACCTTGACAAAACACATGGAAAACAGATGTGTATGACTAAAGAAGAGAAACCATGCTAAGAAGGCTACATTTTATCTGATTCCAGCTACATGACATCCTAGAAGAATCAAAGCTATGAGCACAGTAAAGATATCAGTGATTTCCAAGGGCCATGAGGAAAGGGAGAGAAATGAGCAGAAAACACAAGATTTTTAGGGCAATAAAATGATATTATAAGGGTGGGTATGGACTATATTAAATTTGTCAACACCCAGATAATATACAACACCGAGTGTGACTATGGACTTTGAATGATATTTGTCAATGAAAGTTGATTAATCATAGCAAATGTTCCATTCCAGTAGAAGCTGTTCTTTACAGGGGAGGCTATGCTACAGACAGTGGCAGTAGATATATGTAAAATCTATATATCTTCTACTTAAGTTCTTGGTGATTCTTGTGGAAATTAAAGATGTTACAATATACAGTGAAATAATTGATACATATAAACCTGGGTTCAGGTATCTTTCAGTCATTAGTGGAGGGGCTGGATTAGAGATAAATGATGATAAACCAAATACAGTCCTACCATTTTTATATTGAGGAGGTGATTTTATAACTCGGTGGGGAAGTTATAACAAGAGAAGTGAGCATGTCCACATCCAGACAGTGATACACTGATATGCATTATCTTCACTGAATCCTCACTCTCCTTCCCACTTCCACAGTGGCAGAGGAACCTCACTGCTCAGCCTCATCATGGGCTTGATCATACACCTTTCTTTAGCCATGAAATATTAGTAAATATTAGTTGACCTGAAGTCTTAATAGTATTCATGTACTTGGCTTGTTGGTTTTGATTATTGTGTTTTGTTTTCTACTTCTGTGGCCAGGTAAGAGAACATTCCCCAAGTGACTATGCCTTCAAACTGGACTTTGTTCTGCTCAACCCTTACCATGAAGCAGAACAGCCCAGCTGAGCCTATTTTAGATGAATCAAGTCCATTTATTAATATGGACCATCAAGCTGGACTCAATGATAGGGTGCTGGATGCTATTGTACCATGACTGTGGCCCTGGGTTCACTCTCCAGCATTGTAATTAATAGATGAATAGTTGAACAGACACTCAGGGATAAGAATAAAGTGTATTGTATTAAGCCATTGACTTTTGTACTGGTTTATTAGACAGCAATCACACACCAATATAAGCACAACCAAGGGCTATCTAATATACATGCTAGTATGCTCAAAGTTGACTTTAATATGAGCTATGAATTTAAATGGTGAGTGAAGAGAAAGACTTTGACATGCCTAAAGGCATGGCATGAGCAACAACAGGCAACTATAAATGGGAAAGTGCTTTGGGGGTCCACTGAACAACATTTTAGCAGAAGATTATCTCTAAGAAAATGTCAGCATGTATGTAGTCAAGGATGACTTTGAAATACTGATCCTCTTGCCTCTACTTTCCTAATCCTAGGATTAAAGACAGGTATCACTATGCCTAGATGAAAAAGAAGGTTCTTGTGGCTCTCTTGTTTGGGCATAAATTTAAAAGAAAATTAGGATGAAGTTTCAGAAGACCTTGAATATTAAAGCATACAAATTAGACATCTAGACTAGCAGGAATAGTTAAGAGAGACAGTAGCTACTTGTGTGATTCAGAACCACCCCTTACATGAGTGTCAGAAATAGCACTGAGGTCATTCTTAAGGAGATGGGTAAATAAGCTCTTCTGTAAGTTATGAAATGGGTCTGGCTGAGGCAGCCTGCTCTGCTCTGTCACATATCCATTTAAAGAAGGAAGTTCAGTGAGGTGCTAATGAAGACATTTTAGAGAATCAGAAGATAAACATTTGTGTCAAGATATAGATCAATAGGGAAGGCCTAATCACATCACTCTGTAAATTGCTCAAACACAGACTGTTCTGAATCCCCTCATTGGTGGAGATAAGAAAGGTGATGGGCAACAGGAAGGTGAAGCATTGCTTGCATTTCTTCCTTTGAGGTTGCTGGAGTAACTGGAGTAACTGGTGTGTGAAATGATGAGCCTCTTCCTGGGAGAAGTCACCTAGAACAGGTCCTGAGGCTAAAAAATCTTAATCCCTCTTGCAATAAACTCCCTAATCCTATAGCACAGAACCCCAGGAAAGTAAGGCAGAATAGGGCCAAGTGAGGGAGGATTTCACTAGAGACTCAAAGGACTGAAACTCACCATTGTGGATGACAATCTCAATCTGTCTGTCAGAGCCAAGTAAGAAAGAGCATTTTATATGGAGCTCTTTCCTGGAGGAAAAAAAAAACCGCTAAGAAAAAAAGAGCATGCCCAGATGGCCAGAGCCTAGGGGAATATGAGATGGGACTAAAGGAAGTCAGGCAAAGGAGATAAAATAAATTCCACATGCACTGCTTCTTATTGCCACTTTTGTACAGTTGCTATGGGAACTGTATTTCGGAAGCTCTCTAAGGCTGTATCTACCCAGTGCAAAGTGTTTGGAGCTGAAATGACCAGTCAATTTAAGCCAACTGGTTTAATTGATTGATTTCCAGCTCATGCCCCCAACCCAATCCCAATTGGCTGGTTGCTTAACTGGATTCAGTGGCATCTTGCAACAGTAAAATTGGTTTACCTGTTGTGTATATCTGTATTCCACCTTAATGATAAGATGGCCCTCTTTCAATCTGTCTTCCTGTACTATGGTCCCGTCATTTCTGGGATTTATAAGCAGCTCTACAGGAGCATGGACAGTGACTAGGAAGTCAGAGAAAGACTATATGATGTTAAGTGTACCCCTGTGTGTGCATGTACACACACATGTACACACCTATGTACACACACACACACACACACACACAAGCAAGCAAAAGAAAGCATTAGACAAGAGTCCAGACAGCAAAGCAAAAATGAATCAGAAACAAGTCCCTTCACAACAAAAGATGGGGTTGAGATACTGCTGTGGGGCAAAGGTGATGAAAGACGAGTCCTTGCATCATACTACCCAGGCCAGAGGCTGCTTATGTGGACCTTCAGAGGCCAGAGGACAACCATGAATACTGTTTCTCAGGAGCTGTACACCCTGTTTATTCAAACAGGATCTCTCACTGGCTGGCTGGCCGGTGAGTTCCTGGGATTTACTTATCTACATATCCCCAGCCACCAGTGGGATAGCAAGCACATGCTAGTGTGCTTGGCTCTTTTACTCAGTTCTGGTGATCAAATACAAGTCCTTATGCTTGTACGTCAATTATTTTACCAATCAAAGCTATTGCCTCAGCCTCCAAGCTTCCTATCTGTCTATCTGCTTCTTCCCAAAATGCCAACTTGGCTCTCTGAGGTCAGAATCCTGGGCTAACGGACAAGAATAGTGCCTCAACGTTGGTCTGTTCCAATCTCTGTCTCCTCTCCATTCATCTCCCCCAAAAGAAGTAATACAACAGAATAGCATCTTATTACCAGTGAGAAGAATTTATAAAGTCTGCATTCATTTAGCATTTCCTGGGAGAGGAACTGTGATAAGTCTTTACAAGCAGAACTGCCTATGATATCATTTAGGCTTGAAGCTCTTTCATTTCTTATATATTGTCCTGAACTTTCAGTTTCTTGTACTCTAATTTTGAGCTACTCCATGTAACCCTAAGCACATGACTTATGACCTAGATAGCTTTATACCACTATCACTTCATTCTTTTATCAAATGAGCTGCCCATGCCAATTTCTTCATAGACAATGGAAAAGTCAGACAACACATCTTGTCCCAACAATGAATTCATGAGGGTCCAAGTTATGGGAAAAACCATTGACATGGAAATCAGAGGTGATCTAACACAAATTCCTAGTGAGAAACCAGATAGATTAAAGAATCAATTCTCTATTTTTCTAAAATGTACTTGTTGTCTTCTAGATACTCAAATTTTAACCATGATGTAAAAGTCAGATTTATTGCCAGAATTGAAAAGATTCACTGATGCCAGGTCTGGTGGCACAGACCTTTAATCTAAGCACTCAGAAGGCAGAAGCAGGTTGATCTCTATCTGGAGTTAAAGGCCAGTTTGGCTTATATAGTGAATTTCAGAAGAGTCAGAACAACACAGATAAATCTTATATTAGAGAGAGATGGGATTCACTGATGATTAATAGCTGCCATGTCATTGGAGCTTATAAAGGACTTTACATATATTGTCTAGCTGATTTCTACTTTAACTCACAAGAGAGATAGCTTGTTCTAGTTTTGCTTTATGTTGCTGTGATAAAACACAGACCAAAGCAACCTGGGAGGGGAATGGGCTTATTTGGCTTACAGGTTACAGTCTATCATTGAAGGAAATTAAAATTCCTAGGCAGGAATTCAATTCAGGAACCTGGAGGCAGGAACTGAAGCAGTGGCTGTGGAGGAGTACTGCTTGCTGGATCTCTCTCCACAGTTTGCTCAGCCTGCTGTCTTATACAATCCAGGACCACCCACCCAATGATAGGACCAGCCACGGTAAACTGGGCCCTCCACCCCAATCAGTAATCAAGACATGGCACACGGTCATGTCCATGAGCCAGTCTGATGAAGGGAATTCAT